ACCATACTATGGAGGTTATATTAACTTTGTCATTCCGTTTGTATCTCCTCGAAATACTCATGTCAGACCCAACAAAGTATATATATTCTTGATCAGCGTAAAATTCTAAGTCGATTTAGCCATGCCCGTCTGTCTGTCTGTCTGTCCGCCTGCCTGTCTGTTATTGAGATAGAAAGCGAAAATTTTGCACACGTGTTTATTTTTCCAGTAGGCAGGTTAAGTTCGTAAACGGGCCATGTAGGTCAACGTTTTCATATAGCCCCCATAAAACGGAAGCTTCCGATATTCGGTATTTTGATGATTTTAGTGACATTATTAACCGGAATTGTTTTAAATTTGGTATTTGAAGTTCGAAATGGATACTACGGCCTATGACAGAAAATTGTCGGTACAGGTCCTGGTCTTCGTATAGCCCTATATAACGGTACCTCCCAAAATTTGGTATTTTGATGATTTTAGCGTCATTATTCTCCGGAATTGTTTCAAATTACGTATTTAGAGCTCGTAATGGGAACTACAGCGTGTGACAGAAAATTATCTACGCAGGTCCAGATCTTCGTATAGGCCCCATATATCAGTACCTCCCTATATTCGGTATTTTGACGAGTTTAGGTACAATACCTACCGAAATTTTTTGAGATGTCGTATTTGACGTTCGTAATGGATGCTATAGCCTGTGACAGAAAATTGTCTATGCAGGTCCAGGTCTTCGCACAGCTCCGATAGAACGGTACCTCCCTATAACCGATATTTTGATGATTGTAGCTAAAATCTTTAGTTTATTTCAAGTTTCGAATTTGAATATGGAAATGTCTTATGACAAACAATGCCTATGTAGGTCCACGTCGTATAGACCCCAATATAACGGCCATATTCGGTATTTTTAAAATTTTAACATAATTTTTTAAATATTTTATTTTTTGAAAATTTCCAAATTTATTCCAAATTCGGCCCGACCGAAGTTACTGCTTTTTAGCTTGTTAAATCTGCAAATTTGAGTTACCATTACTGACAGACTTATCATTTTCCCTCTATATATGTATTAAGATGATATGCTTATTATTACGCAATAAGTACCCATACTGACGTCGCGAGCTTCTGTAGTGGCCTACTGTCCGCAATCACAGTTTGTCCTTCCAACCTCTAGATTTATCCAAAAATTATAATATTACTTATTTGATTTTTAGATATTTAACAATTACTCAATTGCGCCAAAAACCTACAATACGTTACAAAAACTATTTACTCAATTAAAACCAAAAATAGACACTATGGACAAATCAAATTTAATATACAAAATAAAATGCAACGGGAACGAAAATGATAAATGTCAAAAATATTACATCGGGACAACAAAAAACAAATTAAAAACACGGTTATCCGGACACAAATCAGACATTAAAAACAGGTCATCAATCACAACACAGAAAACAGCACTTTCTACCCACTGTGCCACCGAACAACATCATCCAGAATTAGAGAGAGTGAGAGTGCTACAGTGCGAGAACAACTACCAAAAGCGACTTATGTTGGAAACTCTACACATAATGAATACTCCAACATCACAACGAATAAACTACAAAACAGACACAGAGAATCTAGCAAACAGTTACAGACATCTGATTAGAAAAATAAACAAAGATATACAATAAGAAGGGAATGCTGCAGTGACAAAACAGATGGCAGCAACACAAGGTCGGCGTCGAAGCTCAGCGATATTTTGTAAAATTTTGTTATATGTTTAAACAGTATTGTTCCTGATGATGTCTTCCGTTGGAGGACGAAATATCGAAAATAATAAATAATTAAACAACAACAAAGACCTCGAGCTCATTTTTTATTAAATTTGAATTTGTAAAAAAATTATAATATTACCATAACATTTTCGTTGTTGTTGCCACAAAATTTAAACTTACAGCAAAATATTATGTTTTCGCTCTTGTTGTTGTTTTCTGTTTTCCAATGGCATTATCAACATTAACGTGACTTTCATTAAAATAATTACGTGCACAAACAAAACGATGCATGCACTCATGATGTAAATTCGAACTTTTAATACATGTTAACATGTAATTAAGGTATCCGAACGAAATCTGATTATCGTTATGTAAATGAATTATCAGTTTAATAAAATTTAACAATTTTTAATTATTAACGAAAGCATTTTGCTAAAAAGCTTTTCAATTTTTTTTTTATTTTTTAAATTGAATCTTCATGAAATATGTCACAGTAATGACATGTGAAAATTTGCACAACTTTTTATATATGCTGCAATATGTGTAAATTATTGCAGATATTTGAAAGGATATTGACATTCAATTTGTAAAACAAATTAAATGGAAAACAAAAAATCCATATATGGAGTCTATATATTTTGAGAATATTCTAAAATTTTGTAAAATGTACGGATCTTATCATATTCTTAAGTAGTGCCGATTTTTTATTTATTTATTTATTTATTTTTTTTTTTTTTTTTGAGACAAATTGGTGAGAAAATTAAAAAAAAAATCTGAGCCAAATCGATTGGGAAATATGACCAAGATACTTAAAGTATCTGAAGTCACAGGGTATCTTAATATAAGAATGCGATACCAGAACTTAGACCTAAAGGTTGATATTTTATTAACTACTAGCAAGTGTCCATACTTCGTCAGCGTAAGGCTTTAAGGTCGGCCTTTCGCTGACGAAGTATGGGCACTTGCATTGTATTGTAAATTCGTTCCAACAGTTTATTTTAGACCTTTTTAGAACTCAAAATTAACAAATCAGTAAAGTGAAGTCTACCGAGGAGGATATTAATGGAACCATGGCACATCTAATTTTTCTGTCCACAACTAGATCAACGTCTCCATATGAAAACGCTAGAAACCAACAGTGACCTCAATATCAAATTTCAGAATATCAGCTCTATATATTTGTTCAATACCAAGTGTAGTAACATTTAGTACGCATATCCAAAACAGTCTACATCTTTTCATCCTTGATAACCACAGTGATCCAAAATTAATACTATTTAGTACTTTTCGAACAATTATACAGGGTGAGATGAAAAAAACGGCAACCAACTTCAGACTGCTATCATTTCTAAGTCACTCGTCCGACAGCTGTTAAAATTATTCCAGTGACAGCTCATTATATTGTTTACAAGCGTACAAAAGCATTTTAGTGAGAATTTTCCAGAAAAAAAATTATTCGTGATGGAGTTCAAGCTTGATAGTGTGATTTCTTTAAATTTGGCTGGAGAACCACAAGTGGCTATCGTAGAGCGCTCCAGCATTTAAATGTGAATAAATCTTTTGTGTCTCGTACCATCTGTCTCGTTACCTTGATACTGTCGTCGTAGCCCGACGTCAACCAAGTGGACGGAAGAAAACAGCAACATCAATAAGTATTTTGTGTTTTGTACCATCGCTCGTTACCGTGATACAGGTAGCGTTGACCGACGTCAAGGAAGTAGACAGATGAAAAGAGCAACATCAGTAGAAATGGTTCGAAATGTAAAGAAGCTACTTGATCTCGATACCCCCGTCGCAGTGGCCGAAAAATGGCTCGTGAGCTGAACATATCGCAATATTCTATTCGGCAAATATTGAAAAATGAGGTCGGGGTAAAGCCATTGAAATTCCAAAAAGTGCAATAACTTACACCGCAACAGATAGAAAATAGACTCAAAAGAGCTAAATAGTTGCTTCGCTTGGCCAAAAGTGGTGAAGTGCCGAATTTGATTTTCTCCGATAAGAAAACATTCGTTGTCAGCAGGACTCAGCACCATCGCACTCAGCACGCGCCACCCAAGAATGGTTACAAAATGAGGTTTCTCCAAAATCTCCGGATACCAATCCGTTGGTCTATTGTGTCTGTAGTATTTTGGAAATCAAGGTTGGCACTAAAAAATATCAAAGGGTCGATCACCTCAAGCAAACGCTACGCCGCGAATGGGCCAAAATACCGCAGAGCAATATTCGGGTGTGACGGTTACGGATCCAAGGAATAAGAATTTGCAAAGTTGGTCCAAAATCGGATTATTCTTTCTCTTTCTGTGCAGAAAATATATTTTTTGAAATTTTCGACCCTTTGTAGGGAGTTGAAGCTTATGTCAGTTTCAGGTCAGTTACGAATTGGCCAACTGTTTCGGAATATCAACCATAAGGGGTCAACAGTTTGAATAATCATAACTCAAGGCTGGAGGTATAGATCTGTCGGCAAAACTGACTGATAATATTTTACTTGTTTTTTTTTTTTTTTTTTTTTTTTTATTTCCGCCAGAAGGGGTGGAACGGTATTGCCCATCTCCGAACGTGATCTAAGTTAGAATCAAATCGGATACTTCTTTCGAGAGTTGTCGTGAGCAACAGCTAGATCGACTACAAATGTCCTAAAATAGATTTGGTCCAAAGCGACCTAGGGTCTAAAACAGTTATATCGATCAGGCACGTTTTGACCGTGTCAAATGTTAGGTTCTGGCCATACATAGTTATTATAAGTTTGAAATGTCCAAAATCAAACAAAACATCAAGAAAAACAACCATATTGAATGAATAAATAATCCAAATTTTCAAAATATTGGAATTCTGAACATTCATATTTCAATTTATGTTTTTCCATGGAGAACCTAAAGGAGCATACAAGAAGTTTCAAATTTTGACAAAAATCTTTTTAAACATTTTAATATAATACCGAAATTGCTTTTCGTATCGGAAATAAGTTGACTAATATTCAAATCTTCATCTTGAATTTTTACAAGTCGAACACAAAACGTCTTGAAAACTTTGTTAAATTTTTATTGGGATCTCAACTAAATTGGGCCTGAGAAATTAATAACTTTTTAGACTTAATAACTTTTGTATAAATATAAAAATTTGAAATTAATATAATAAAGTAATATATACGAACATACACACACTAACCGCAACTAACAATGTTCCACTTCAATAATAACCCCAACTAAACTTAACTTATATACAAAAAAAAATTAATTTATGTTTTTGATTTTCTTCCAGGCTATGGTATTACCGCCATTGGCTAAATGGCCTTATGAGAATGGTTTTACATTTACCACATGGTTTCGTTTGGATCCCATTAATTCTGTGAATATTGAACGCGAGAAACCCTACCTCTACTGGTAAGTGCAAAGGAAATTTCCACACACACAGAAATCTACCCAATACACCACAATCTAAGAAAAATCGCATCTTTCCCCTGCCCCTCCCTTTTAACAACTAACCAATCTTTGTCTTACACATTTTTTCCGATTTTAATATTCATTAATTTTTTCCTTCTTCAGCTACGCCTTTTGTAGTACTCAATATTTTGTGTTTTACTTTTCTAATTATTGGTTTCAATTTGTACTTTTTCCACCCCGGTTGTTTCATCAACAACGCCACCACCGCTCCCCAAACTCCCCTTCCCCCCTGTAGCATATAATTTTCATTTCGTTTTAATTAAATCATTCATCTTCACACTTTACTTCACATTTTGGTTTATGGGCGGGCTACCCACCCACACACAAAGACCGCTCTCAGTCAGGCTTTAGCCCCTCTTTGATTTTGTAGCTTCCACAATGGTGGACACCCACCCCTCTCCCACACTCTACCTTCCCTTTTTATTGTTTAATTTCTTGTACATTGATTTTTATTCGATTCATTCATTTTGTGTTTTCATTCCTTTCTTTGCAGTTTTAAAACATCAAAAGGTGTTGGTTATACCGCCCATTTTGTTGGTAATTGCCTTGTACTGACTTCGATGAAAGTTAAAGGCAAAGGATTTCAACATTGTGTAAAATATGAATTCCAGCCCAGAAAGGTATGTATCGATCGGGAAAAACGAAAGAAATGTGTAAAAAAAATATGTAAAGTGTGTTATTGTAATTTCAACACTTTTGTTTTTCGGTTTGGGCAATTATCAAATATTTGTTGTGTTTTACATGAGTACATGAGTGCACACAAACTGTGGACAGTGGTTACAACAAAAAATCGCGCAAACGCGGAAAACTTTAAAAAAATAAAACCTAGTTTCGTTATATTTAGAAAACAAAATAAAATTCAAAATTGTATTCAAAACTTGATGCTTTATAGGTCCTTGAAAAAATATTAAATATTTAAAAAATATTTTTCAAGTATTGTGGGTCCTTAAAAAATATTCTAAAAAAAATCACAAGTTTTGAATCTGTTTTATTCCTCGTTTTTAAACCTTATTGGACGTTTGATAGCTGAATATGGATCCTTACAAATATTCTATTTTTCAAATAGGTCCGTGAAAAATATTAAATATTTAAAAAATATTTTTCAAGTATTGTGGGTCCTTAAAAATATTCTTAAAAAAAGTTTTGAATCTTTTTTAATCCTCGTTTTGAGACCTTATTTTATAGCTAAATATAGATCCTTAAAAATGTTTTTTAAAAAACCCCAAGTGTTGTAGCTCTGGTACTTGTTATAAAATTATGTCCCTATGTCCTTGAAAAAAACATTTTTCAAAATATATATTTCATCTCTATTTGTCCTTGAATCTTCTTAATCCTTATTTTCAGGCCTTATTGAACGTTTCATTGTTAAAACAAAATCCAATATTATATTCAAAATCTGGTGCTCTGTAGGTCCTTGAAACAAATATTTTTTTTAGTATTGGGCTCCTTAAAAATATTCTTTAAATAACCCCAAGTTTTGTAGCTCTTGTCCTTGTTATAAAATCATATCGTGTGACTCCCTATGTCCTTGAGAAAAAAATGTTCAAAATATATTTTTGATATCTATTTGTCTTGGATTTTGTTATAATCCTCGTTCTGAATCAATTTTGGACGTTTTATGGCTACAAATAATTCGAATTTGTATTAAAAATTTGTTTCTCTGTAGATCCTTGTAAATAAATTTAGGTATTGGAGGGTACTTAAAAATATTCTTTAAAAAAAAAACACATTTTGTAGCTTTGGTCCTTGTTAAAAAATCATATCGTGCGACTCCCTATATCCTTGAGAGGGAATTTTTCAAAATATATGTAATCTCTATTTATTTTTTACTATTTTTTTAATCCCGGCTTTGAGGTTTTAATGGACGTTTTATGGATAAAAAAATTCAAAATTGTATTCAAAATTAGGATTTGAATATTGAATTTGAATACATATACATGATTATACCTAAGCATGTTTGTGGTCTTATTCCAAATGTTTTAAATTGCCCGTTGTTTGTCTACTCCACCTTCGTTGTTTGAATTGTCTTCCTTGATCACAGTCCTCTCTAGTTCCCCCTCTCTTTCGCCATCTTTGGTGCCCTAACATCAACTGAATCCCCTTCAAAATATTGTCATGGGACTTTTTATTAGCCTTCGCCACCTCACCTCATTAATTGCCATTACCTCCTCGTTTGGAATAAGCTAATTGCAGAGCATATTAATTTTTATTCGATGGCTTATTAATGCCTGAAAGAATCTTCACCGATGACAGCGGAAATTTGTTTTTATTTAATTTTCATTTTCAAACAATTGCTAATTATAGCCATAAATGGTGGTAGCCATGCATATTAATTAGAGATTTTGTATTGACAAGTGGAAAGTTTTGAGTTCCTCAAGGGAATCAACAATTTTCAATTAGAAACCTTTGAAAGGCAATTCAAACATTGTTTCGCAATTTTAATAAAAATATCTTTGAGCACGTTTGTCCTTTGGGAAGCAATTGAAAAATATAAAATATTTAAAATTTTATTTTATTGGATTTAAAAAAAAAATATTATTATATTCTTGATGTTAAACAAAGCTCATAAAAATCCAAATTTTGGTTCTTGAAAATTTTTATAATCACCACTTTTTCCAGTTATGTTGGTCTTTGAAAAATATTGTTAAAAAATAAAAACATCACGTTTTGATGCTATGTTGGCCCCTAAAAAATATTTGAAAAAAAAAAACTCCTCTATGTTGATCTTAAAAAAATTCACGAGTGGTCCTTTCAAGATATTCCTAAAAAATAATTTTAAAGTTCACAAATTTGTCGTAAAAAATATTCTTCGAAATCCGCCATTTATCCTGGTAAACATGATCTTGAAATGTACAATCCAAAAATCAGCCATTCACCCAAAATAATATTTTTTCAACAATTTTCAATTGACCCGTGAAAGAATATTTTTAAAAATTATGAATTACCAGTGCAAAAATATTTTCACATACATATTCATAAAAATCCAACATATTTTTTTCAAACATTCAAATATTTTTTTTTAAATCTATGATTGATCCTTTAAAAACGTTCTTACAATTCCTTGAAGAAATATTTTTAAAAATCCACGACTTGTACTTTAAAAATATTTCTAAATTTGGTCCTTAGAAAAAATTCTGTTACCCCTTGTAAACAAATTCCTTTAAAAAACTACGATCTATCCTTATAAAAATTATTTTTAATAATCCAGGTTTGGCCCATAAAATGATAAAAATCCTCATTGCTTATTGCATCAAGAATCCTCCAGACTTTTTTTGGTCCTTAGAAAATTCCATGTTTCTTTTGGTCCTTAGAAAAATCCACGTTCCAATAGGCCCTTAGAAAAATCTACGTCTCTAAAGATCATTAGAAAATTCTACGTCTCAATTACGTTGCAATTGGTCCTTAAAAACCCCACGAATTTAAAAAAATCTACATCTCAATGGGTCCTTAAAAAATCCATTTGCAATAGGTCCTTAGAAAAATCTACATCTCAATAGGTGCTTTAAAACGTTTCTATAGGTCCTTAGGAAAATCTACGTTTTTATAGGTCAATAGAAAAATTTACGTTTTTATGTGTCCTTAGAAAATTTGACGTTTCTGTAGGTCCTTGGAGGAATCCAAACTTCTATAGCTACCTACAAAAATCCAGGATTCTATAGGTTTTTAGAAAAGTTTTAGAAAATCCACGTTCCTATAGGTCCTTGAAAAAAAAAATACTCTTTAAAAAATCCACGTTCATATACGTCCCTGAAAACATATTCTTTAAAAATCCAAGTTCGTACAGGTAGTTGAAAAAAATATTCTTTATTCCTTAAAAATCCACGTTTCTGTGGGTAATTAAAAAAATATTCTTCAAAAATTCCACGTTTATTGATCCTTTAAAACATATATTTTTTAAAAAATCCACGTTTTCAATGGTCTTGTAAAAATATATATTTTTAAAAATCCACTGTTTTGGTCATTTGAAAAATATTCTTTAAAAGTCAGTGTTTCAATAGCTCCTTAAAACAAATATTTTTTTAAAAATCTACTCTCCTTTTGGTCTTTAAAAAATATTCTTTAAAAGTCAATGTTTCAATAGCTCCTTAAAAAAATGTATTTTTAAAAATCCACCTTTCTTTTGGTCCTTTAAAAAATATTTTTTTTAAAAAATCTACTTTTCTATTGGTCTTTGGAAAAATACTCTTTAAAAATCTACTTTTCTATTGGTCCTTGGAAAAATATTTTTTAAAAATCCACCTTTCTTTTGGTCCTTTAAAAAATATTTTTTTTTAAAAAATCTACTTTTCTATTGGTCTTTGGAAAAATACTCTTTAAAAATCTACTTTTCCATTGGTCCTTGGAAAAATATTTTTTAAAAATCCACGTTTCTTTTGGTTCTTGAACAAATATTCTTAAAAAATCCACATTTCTTTCTGGTCCTTGAATAAATAAAAATTAAATTAATATATTTTTTACTTTCTTTTCAGTGGTATATGATTGCCATCGTGTATATTTACAATCGCTGGACAAAAAGCGAAATAAAGTGCCTCGTAAATGGACAATTAGCGTCCAGTACCGAAATGGCGTGGTTTGTTTCAACAAACGATGTGAGTATATTTTCAACAACAAATTTTATATCCTGGATTATATGGGCCCTAAATTCGAATCATTATTTCATTACAGCCATTTGACAAATGCTATATCGGAGCAACACCCGAATTAGATGAAGAACGTGTCTTTTGTGGCCAAATGTCGGCTATATACCTCTTTAGCGAAGCCCTGACCACCCAGCAAATATGTGCAATGCATCGCTTGGGGCCCGGTTATAAGGTAGGACATAATTTCAACATAGCTTCAGATTTGAAAATTTATTTTGTGCTTTATAAAAATTTCATTTATTTTTTATTTTTCTGTAAAAAAGAACAAACACTTTATTCCAATTCTCACCAAACAAATCAATCAAATTACCAGCAAAACTTTGTAATTAAAAAAACCTCTTTTGTTTTCTCTCTGTTTTTTGCACTTTTTTCTCTTTCTCTTTCTTTCTATATATGTCCAACAATATCATCAATAACAACAACAACAAACAACTACAACAACTTTTAAATATTCACCGCACAAACAATGCTGCAAAAAACAAAAAATAAAATCAAAAATATTTGAACACCGCCAAAAACCAATCAACAAATAAAAATGCGTTCTATATATTTGTGTGTGTGTGTTGCGTTTTTTCTCCATCCATATATGTGTGTGTATACATGTGCCGTTTTTGTCCTGCTCTTATTTATTTTTGCGCCACTACCAAAAATGCTAACAAAATTAACCAAAAACACCACAATCTAATGTTGGAACGCCGACGATGACAACGACCATTGCACTGCCGCCCCGCCGAAACCAAATCACTTTAAATCAAACCGAACAAAATTAAAACTAAAAATCGAAATCTGCCAACAGTCACAATTTCGTTTCGACAATGAGTGCTATTTGAACCTGCCGGACAATCATAAAAGGGTGAGTCAACAACAACATCAACGTCAAGTTCCCACACAACACACTGCAGCCGTTTTGTTAGCCGAACAGGAAGCTCAGGCCATCGATTGGTCTGATGAGAAATTAGACTTGCAGGCAGCATTTGCCAAAATACGTGCCGTGTTGGCGGCACGCAATGCCAATGCAAATGCTGTCCTACAGGCATTGACGGGTGGTGGAACAAGTGGTAGTGCGGCGGGCAATACGGATACACTGTCGACCGAGGCCAATGCGGCCGTCGCCGCAAACAATGCCACCGCATCGGACACCATCATCGGTGGTAGTGATGGTAGCAAAATCACCGACTCCTTGAGTCACATGCCCATTGGTTCAGCTTCGACTTCTTCAATTGGTATTTATTATGATTTGCAAATTTTTTGTTTGTTTTTTATGATTTTAATTATTTTATTTTATTTTCTTTCCTTTCTTTTTGTTTTCTTTGCCTTGTATTTTGTTTTTATGTGTTTTAGATCGTCTAAGACGCATGTCTTCTTCGTCTATGTCCGGTTCGGAATATATGCGAGCTTTTGGTGGTGATACGGAAGAAATCAATCAATTGAAAGCTGTAAGATTTTTTTTTATTATTTATTATTTTCAATTTTAATTATTTTTTATTTTTAAAACTTATTTTTGTTTCGCTTGATATAAGCTTGATTTATTTTATTATTATTTTAAATATTCTTAAATTTGGGAAAACTGTTGGAATTCACCAGCGGCAAAGGCTTAAATTTTTAGATATTATTTTTGGAGTTACATAACGTTCTTATCTACAAAATCTTCTTTTCCTAACCAATATTCATATCTCATTAGTGTATTTGCCTATATAAACGTGACACATATTGAAATCAGAACCGCTATTACGTATAAGTGCTGACAACAAGTATACGCACCAGTTTACCTTGCTTTATTATGTTTTGGAATTATTGCCTATCCTTTTACGTTTTATAAGAACGCAAGACGGAAACATAACATTGTGTGACGCAAAAAATAATTACAAGGAACACACGTGTACGAAACAAGGTTTTGATAGTTGATATCGGGAGGCGCCGACGTAGTCAGGGTGAGGGGCCTAGGTGCTATTTCTTTTTTTTATATTTTCAGAGCATTTTGCTTGAAAATCCAAATTTTTGTTGTTGGGCCACACACCCCTTAAATGGTTTTGAAAGATATTTCTGGCTACATCGGTGTCAAGAGGTAATCAAAATAGGTGAAAGTTCCGAAAATCGGCAAAAAAACATGCTATAGTCTATTTGAGTTTATGAAAAAAAAAAAAAAATTGTATAAAACACCAAATTGGAGAGATGACGTAGAAGATAAAAATATTTTTTGTCAAACCTAATTTTGGGTCAATTCAAAGACATTAAATGTAAATTCACATTTGAAATTCTTCCAGAAATGAAATTTCCTTGAAATGTTAGAAAATTTTAAGGCTTCCGTAAAAATTCCGATTTCTTATAGGGAAAGACGTTTTAGACGTTCTCGCTCTCTCTCTCCCTCTCTCTCTCACCTATTCATAGCATAGACAAATGAAGATATAGACAACGAAAAGTTAGTTTTGTCTTTTTATACCCTACACCACAAGGTGGTCAGGGTATTATGTCTTTGTGCATTTGTTTGTAACATAAATCTGAGTTCATTTATGAAAGTCAGTCCGTCCGTCCGTCTGTCCTTGTATTCTTGCGAACAAAATGCAGGTCGCATTTATTATCCGATTGAGATGAAATTTTCCAAACAACATTTGTTTGGCTCAAGGATAAACCCTATTGAAATTGGAGATAATCGGTAAAAATTTAGATATAGCTTCCATATATATCTTCGTCCGATTTGCCTTTTATTGTGCACCAAACGTGTAATATCAGCCCATACAACCAACATACAACCAAATTAGGCCTGCAAATAAATATGCCAAATTTGATCGAAATCGGTTAAGATATAGCTATAGCTCCCATATATATTGTTCATCCGATTTGTTGTATTTGTTACCCACAGCCGTAATATGCACTCCGTAACAACGATATTCAGGGAAATATATCAAATACAGCTCAGAAATATCTTTGCTAAATTTTATCGAGATCGATTCAGATTTGGATATAGCTCCCATATATATCTTTATCTGATTTCAAATTAATTTTGCACCAAATGGGCAATACAAGTCCGAATTTAAAAGATACATATGCTTCGGCATATTTATTCCTTTGAATTTTAAATTATAATTATTATCATAGGGTGTATGATTGAATTCTCCCATAAAAACGTTTAATTGTTATGTAAAGCTCAACTAAATTAGCAAGGTGGTGTAGGGTATCATAAAATCGGCCCCGCCCGACTTTAGGACTTTCTTTGCTGGTTATACAGATGGCTCTCATCATGTTTTGCATAATCAACATGCTGATTTACGCGTTCAACCCACACGACTTCGACAACACATTTTATCGTTTTTCCAGAATTTTATTATTTTGTTTGTTCCGGAATTTTTCGATATCATCACGTAGTTTTCTCTTATCTTTTATTATGGAAATATCTTTGTGGTCAGGGTATTATGTCTTTGTGCATTTGTTTGTAACATAAATCTGAGTTCATTTATGAAAGTCAGTCCGTCCGTCCGTCTGTCCTTGTATTCTTGCGAACAAAATGCAGGTCGCATTTATTATCCGATTGAGATGAAATTTTCCAAACAACATTTGTTTGGGTCAAGGATAAACCCTATTGAAATTGGAGATAATCGGTAAAAATTTAGATATAGCTTCCATATATATCTTCGTCCGATTTGCCTTTTATTGTGCACCAAACGTGTAATATCAGCCCATACAACCAACATACAACCAAATTAGGCCTGCAAATAAATATGCCAAATTTGATCGAAATCGGTTAAGATATAGCTATAGCTCCCATATATATTGTTCATCCGATTTGTTGTATTTGTTACCCACAGCCGTAATATGCACTCCGTAACAACGATATTCAGGGAAATATATCAAATACAGCTCAGAAATATCTTTGCTAAATTTTATCGAGATCGATTCAGATTTGGATATAGCTCCCATATATATCTTTATCTGATTTCAAATTAATTTTGCACCAAATGGGCAATACAAGTCCGAATTTAAAAGATACATATGCTTCGGCATATTTATTCCTTTGAATTTTAAATTATAATTATTATCATAGGGTGTATGATTGAATTCTCCCATAAAAACGTTTAATTGTTATGTAAAGCTCAACTAAATTAGCAAGGTGGTGTAGGGTATCATAAAATCGGCCCCGCCCGACTTTAGGACTTTCTTTGCTGGTTATACAGATGGCTCTCATCATGTTTTGCATAATCAACATGCTGATTTACGCGTTCAACCCACACGACTTCGACAACACATTTTATCGTTTTTCCAGAATTTTATTATTTTGTTTGTTCCGGAATTTTTCGATATCATCACGTAGTTTTCTCTTATCTTTTATTATGGAACTAAATGACAAATATCCTACAGTTATCCTACTTAAATTTTTTTAATAACCATGCTTGGTATTCAAAATGGGTATATTTATCAATTTTTCGGCCCCAATTAAAACAAATATATATTACACGCTTTTGCTGACAGGTGTATACCCTCAGCCTATGTCCATTTTTTTAAAATTTATTTTAACTTGCGTTATGATAATTCAAAATGTTGACTGTTTATGTTGGGGTGGGTCAATATTTTCCATTTCGAATGGACTCTGTCGACTATTATTTGTAACATGGAGAAGGAACCAGATATTAGATACATCCCAGAAATACCTCTGCCAAATGTTATCAAATTTCGTTCAGATTTAGATATAACTCCTATATCTATTTTGAACCGATTTTGAGTTAGTTGTGCACCAAATGGCTAATATAAATCCAAATGACCTGAATTTAGGCACATCCGACCGCATTCAGTCTATAAGCAAGTACATCAGATATCACTATAGCTTCCATATATATGGTACATTAAATTTGGTATTTAAGTCCCTCACATTTGTTATATGGACTCGTCAACAATGATATTTGGTACCAGAGATATCTGGCACAACTATTTCAAAAAATTGGAAATTTTCTTTAGATTTGGCCTCCCATAAAACGTCACCCTTGACTTTCAGCATTTCGAAATTATGTTCCCCAAGAAAAGTTCTTACTAATTTTCCTATCGAACTGGTTGCGGGTGCGGACTACTATACATTTTCGATTTTCATTAATTTAATTTTCGATTTTCCTCATTGAGGGTCTTCTAAAAAACTTAAAGATTCCATAAAAAATTAATAGAGGCCAGTATTATAGCAATTTTCATAAGATTTTGACCTTAGCTGCGGTAAAGTTAAATCTAAATTGAGGGAATAGAAGGGAAGAAGCAGAAGATATTCTATAAAACCCCTTCTTGCGGGATGGATAAATAAATAAATGAAATCTTAGCAATTCTCAATACAGTCTAACTTGTCAATAATTCCACATATTTTTTTTCGACTTGAGGCTTTAGAAAATGTGTAGTATTCAGTATCGACGGACCATTCTTGGTTCAGTGATATGTAACCAACTTTCTCAGGGGTGCTCGCCACAGTGACACCAAAAACCAAAAGCTTTCAATATAAGTTAAATGAAAACTTCAGTTGCATAAAATTTACTTTTCGTTACTTTCTTTAATTAATTTATTTTCATATCTTTATTTTCCGATTCTTTAATTCTTCAACAGAATATCTCTTTAGGCTCCAACAAATACAGTCTTGTCTCCGTCTCTTTTTTTTGGCAGTCCTTGTCTTGATTTTATCTATTTTATAACTTTGTTTTAAGTCTTAATTTATTGTTTTCTCGTTCCTTCGTTTGTTCTTTTAATTTCTCCGTTTTGTCATTGGTAAAGCACAATAAATGTTTTCATTAGGCTTCGTTGTTGTTTTTTTCTTTTTTTGTTTTCGTACTTTGTTTTTGGCTTATCCTTGGCTTTAGTTTTGATGGAGTAATGTTTTTGTGTTGCCAGTTTTTATTATTGGAATCTTAAACTATTTTATCGCTTTGGGTCATACTCGAGCAGAGTGGCCATGGACCAGCCGTACGCTACCTACCAGCAGTATCAACGCCACCACCACCATTACCAATGCCACCAATACCAATGCTATCCACATTTCAAATGGCAATCAAGCCTACCATACACTAACACACACTACACCATGAACCACAGCCAAGCAACGATGAGACTACCCAACCGCCCAGCTTCCACTTCCACCAAAGCCAATAATACTGCTAGGGTAGAATCAAAATACAATGACTTTGAATAGCAAAAAAAAAAAAAAAAGTGTTGGTAGTAAACTTTATTTTATGGCCTCCACTTCACTTGATAAAATCACTTTTAATTTAAATGCAAATTTGTTTAATTTTCAAAAGTTTTCCGGTTTTTTATTTTTTTTTTATTTTATGATGTGAGTTGCTTTTTCCAACGCTGTACCGTTGCTTCATTGTAAATTCCCCATTATCCTTAGAGACCATTGATTGCCACTGTTGCTCTCTTTGGGTTAGCGCTGGGGATTTTATCGAGTTTTGTGTTCGCATTTCTATTTTATTTT